GTTAGACTTATCACCTTCTGGTGATACCGTTTTGATCCTCAGTTAGACGGTTATCATCCTCTGGTGATATTGCCTACCATATGACTCTTATCATCTTCTGGTGATATTGCCTACCATATGACTTTTATCATCTTCTGGTGATAACTTTACTTTGACTTAGCAGATTTTGTTTTTGTTTTGAAACTTAATGTGCTTAAGGTCTTAGTATACATGGGCAGTTATCACTGCTAAAGTTCTCAGTGTGAGGTTACTATATTCTTGTGTCTAGTTGCCATCATTCTTTGATGGTCTTAGCAGTAGATAAGTGGTTGAAATGGTGTATATATAGGGCCACATCTCCATCTTTGTTGTATTTGTTCAGATAATTTCTCATGTACAATGAGGCCAATTACTTTTCGTTTATGATGTGAACCATTTGTTCTTATCAAATGCAGTTGGATTCTCTAATGTTTTGGAATTTGATGTTCATTCATAGATGCAGCTGTTAAATGTGAGAATGTCATTGTATACAATGGTTTTAAGATTTGTACATCTAATTCGGAACTTCAGGTTCCAACACAAATCACGGAAACTTCGGTTGCTGATTTGAGTATATACTATGGAATTAGAAAAAAATGAATAAGTTGATGGGAAATACAATAACACTAAAATATTGAGCTAATACAGTAAGAAATTTATGGGAAAAACAAAGTAAGAAGGAAATATTTACCTATCACAGAGAAAGAAGAAATAAATCTAGCAGCAGGCTGAGATATGTCATGTCTACATTCAGATTACTGCATACCTGCTACTTGAGTTCCGCTCGATACAAAGTCAAGCCTCCTCCACATTTTTACTCTTACAGTTGGTAAGTTATATGGCCAAGTGGAAGAAGTGCAGTGAAACAGGGGAAGTGGGATTGTTTAATCCAAAAAGTGAATTAGTATTGGAATTATGTGGGACGAGTTTAAATTTGCCATTACCAATTGAAGTGATTGCAAAAACCAAGCTGCAAGCTGGTAGGGTAATGTCTTGTGGTATGGATATTCACCATTAACAAAAGATAAGAACCAAACCAGAGGAAGAACAAGTATCCTTGAGGTTTTTTTGTGACACTAATAGTCCTTAACGTTTGGACTTTTTATCACAAATGGTCCTTGCCGTCAAAAATTCTGTTATGTGTATGATGTGGAAGATAAGTGGAGCCCACATGTACAATCACATCGTGACATGTGGATTAAATAAATAAATAAATATTTTTTTTTTTTTATGAAAATCCATTAAAAAACCATTTAGCCTCTCTCTCTCTCTCTTTCTCTCTACTCTCTAAATGGTTTTTTTAATGGATTTTCATAATAAAAAAATATTTATTTATTTATTTAATCCACATGTCACGATGTGATTGTACATGTGGGCTCCACTTATCTTCCACATCATACACATAACAGAATTTTTGACGGCAAGGACCATTTGTGATAAAAAGTCCAAACGTTAAGGACTATTAGTGTCACAAAAAAACCTCAAGGACCATTCGTGATAATTTCGTAAACGTCAAGGACCATTTGTGATAAAAAGCCTATAATAAATATTGAGTGCTGCTATTTCCATCCCTGTCTTATTTTCATATTCACCTTATCTTCCCACCAACCATGTTAATTTTAAAAAACACAAATCCTATCTTTCTATCCATCATTATTCCTAAAATACCCTTTAATTATTAATACTGGTCCTGTGAGTTAAGTTCAAGACGTATATACCTTATCCTTGTTTGGATTCATTTATGAGATTTGAAATCTCAAATATCATGAGATGCCGAGTTTTGACGATATGGTCAATGCTGATTGGATGCAATAATGTGACTGTGCCACTATTGACTATTGGGATGAAGATGTAATGGCATAGCATGTATGTTCTGCTATGCGCTTGGTGGCTCTCTTGAATCACTATTCATGGATGAGCTGGGATTGCTCAGAATGGTGGAGGTTAGTTTATGAATCACTATCCATGAACCAAACCAAACGTAGCGTAAGGGGAGTCTGCAATTCTGCATCAAATAAATTCCAACGTATTTGGAAGTGTTAGTTTAAGGGAGAAGAAGTTTAGAGAATGGTTGGTAGTGTTTAGGACAATTAGCTTAACTTGGAAAGGAAAACTTTTGAAAGAGTAACAAAGTAGTTTTATTCTATTGATTGAAATAGGAAAGATACAAGGCTTTAATACTTGAGTTGGCTGATGGCTAGAGTTGGACAGCTGTAGTTTTTTAGCTTAAGTACTTTGAGAGGCTGTAGGCTATTTATAAGAATACTAAGTCGGCAACTTTGCTTTGGGCAGAGTATCCGACTTTACCAAAGTTATTTTCAGCCACAAGTTGTCTTCTAATTCTAGATTTATCTAGTTATAATACATTATATAATTAGTAGGATGTTTCTAGTGACTTTAACTTGTCAACTTCTCTCAATTTTTCTAAATTATTCTATATTATTCATATGACAAAGACCATCCATATCTGATTGGCGGAATATATAGAGACAAATATGTATAGCAAGCCCTTCTACATTTATGATGGTGCGTAGAAACAGATGCCCAATTGTCCATTCTTCCTTCATTAAAAGTCTAAGTCGTTACATTTGGCTACTTGCGAATTTCTTCCCCGAGGGTGCAATCATGTTCCCCACTCTTTTGGCAACTTGTTCCGCCTTCATAAATTGGCACTGCAACAAATTACTCAATCATTTCAAGTTTTCAATTGTGGGAGAAAACAAAAAGAAAAGAAAAGGAAAAACACTTTGAAGTTGGAACTTCTCTGCTTTCGATGCTCATGGAGACAAGTCGTTTCCTCTTTTCAATAACGTTGTTGCTGGTGCTGCACTACATTTCTGTAGGTACAGGTGCAGCACAAACCAACATCACCACCGACCAGTCTGCTCTTCTTGCTCTGAGATCCCATATCACTAGTGACCCTCACAACATCTTGGTCAACTGGTCAACCACCACCTCCGTCTTCAACTGGGTTGGCGTTACCTGTGGTGCTCACCATCTTAGAGTTTCAGTCTTGAACTTCTCTTTCATGGGACCCATCGGCACCATTCCACCACACTTAGGCAACCTCTCGTTTCTTGTAGAGCTGCAATTCAAGAACAACAGTTTCCATGGCACCTTTCTTAAGAAAACCAAAGTAGGGTTAAGGGTTATAGAACAGACAATGAACAATTGGATGAATATTTTCTTGTATTTTTCTCATATCAACAGAACAAAGTATATATACAGATACAACATTCAATCACGTCTAACTTTAAGGCTAACAAGCCGAGATCCACTTTTAGTGGGATTTGAAGGAAGTTGAAGTTCCACCCCCAAACCAATTGGCAATGGGGGGAGTAGCCCAACTCCTCATAAGCCCTTGCACCCCAAAATCAATTGGCAATGGTATCAGAGCTTCG